GGTTGCTGACTTCCATTGCTTCGGCCCACCTGCGCCATCACCCCACCCACTGCCATAACAGCATTCTTACTTCATTCTGACCAGCGAGGGCTCTGCTATTCCTTGTACGCTGCACCATCTGCAAAGTTGCACGTTGCATGTATTTCCCTCTAAGATGGAGATTTCCAGCCCCACCCTAAGCTGCCTGGCCAATTCCATATTCCAGAGTTCTAGTCACAGGACTGGCCCATTGGTCATCCCGGAGCAGCTCCTCCACCCAGGTGTGTTGCAGACCACCAAAATTTTGTTGCAGACCACCAGTGGTCCGTGGTCTAGGAAGGCAAAATTCTGTTGTCAACACCAGTTTTTAAGCCAGTGGTTTATTTCTAAAATCCTTTGCACTTTGATTGGATGTTGGCCTTTTATTGGATGTATAGATGAAAACACCACTTGTGCTCCTAATCCTTTAATTTGCTTCCCTAGCTGTTTGTAATCTCCTGTTATTGTTTTCTGATTCGTTCTGTCATTGGTTCCCACGTGTATGAGAAGAAAGGGGTAGTAATCTGTGGGGTTGATTATTTTAGTAAGGTACTCAATTACATCTTTTATTTTTGCTCCAGGGAAACTATATAACTCCCTTGAATAGATTGACTGCCTGATCTGCAGACTATAGTTTCTGTTCCTCTAAGAATTGTCACCAATATTCACCTTTTTTGCCCCCTAGGGAAGTCTGGAATACTTTTCTTCCTGTCACAGGAATGCTGGGTTGTGCCTCTTTTTTAAACAAACTATTGATTAATATTCTTTTGTAAGTGTTTGTATATTTTCTTCCAAGGAGAGATTAGGAAAGTGATTGCTCAGTTCCAGAGGAGCTTCATTGGAGTGGGCTATGGTAGATAGTAGGAGCTCTTGGTTTTCTTCTAAGAGTGACATATTTCCATTGCTCTTTAGATACATATGCTAATGTTCTGCAGAAGCTGTTTGTTCCCTATTGTGTTCGATTTCAGTGTATCCATTTTCTTCTTTCTATGCATATATGGAGACATCATTTTTTAGAAGCTGTCTGCTCCCTATTACGTTTTACTTTGGTGTACTCGTCTTGTTTAGGTTGGGATTTCTCGTTTTGCTCATTGACTTTCAGAGTGCTAGAGTTTCCTCTCTAAACACTTTACTTTTTCTTCTAGTAATTTAAGTAGTTTACATTTAATACATGCATAGTTTAATGCAAAGATGGGCATGATAAAGGACTAAAATGGCAGGGACCTAACAGAGGCAGAAGAGATTAGGAAAGGTGGCAAAATTACACAGAAGAACTATACAAGAACGAGCTTAATGTTCCTGATAACCACGATGGGGTGGTCACTGACCTCGAGCCAGACATTCTGGAATGTGAACTCAAATGGGCCTTAGGAAGTCTGAGCAACAACAAAGCTAGTGGAAGTGACAGTGTTCCAGCTGAGCTATTCAAAATCTTAAAAGATGATACAGTAAAAGTGCTCCACTCAATTTGTCAGCAAATTTGGAAAACTCAACAGTGGCCACAGGATTGAAAAAGGTCAGTTTACATTCCAATTCCAACGAAGGGCAATGCCAAAGAATGTTCAAACTACCGCACTATTGCACTCATTTCAGATGCTAGCAAAGTTACGCTCAAAATCCTCCAAGCTAGGCTCCAGCAGTATGTGGACTGAGAACGACCGGAAGTACAGGCAGAATTTCGAAGAAGCAGAGAAACCAGAGATCAAATTGCCAACATACGCTGGATCATGGAGAAAGCTAGGGAGTTCTAGAAAAACTTCATTGACTATGATGAAGCTTTTGATTGCGTGGATCACAACAAATTGTGGCAAGTTCTTAAAGAGATGGGAGCACCAGAGCATCTTATTTGTCTCTTGAGAAACCTATAGGCGGGTCAAGAAGCAACAGTGAAAACTGGACACGGAACCACGGATTGGCTCAACATTGAGAAAGGAGTTCAGCAAGGCTGTATACCCATCGCCCTGCCTATTTAACTTATATGCAGAGCACATCATGAGAAAGGCGGGGCTAGATGAATCCCAAATTGGAATTAGGATTGCCGGGAGAAATATCAACAACCTCACATATGCAGATGATACCACTCTAATGGCAGAAAATGAAGAGGAACTAAAGAGCCTTGAAACTCAACATTAAGAAAACTAAGATCGTGGCGTCCGGCCCTCTCAATTCCTGGCAAATAGAGGGGGAAGAAATGGAGGTAGGGACAGATTTTATTTTCCTAGGGACTGCAGCCAAGAAATTAAAAGACGCTTGCTCCTGGGGAGGAAAGCTATGGCAAATCTAGACAGCATACTAAAAAACAGAGACATCACCCTGCCAACAAAACTGGCTATGGTTTTCCCAGCTGCAATGTATTGCTGTGAAAGTTCAACCATAAGAAAGGCTGAGCGCCAAAGAATTGAGACCTTTGAACTATGGTGCTGGAGAAGACTCCTGCGAGTCCCTTGGACTGCAAGGTGATCAAACCGGTCAGTCCTAGAGGAGATCAACCCTGACTGCTCTTTAGAAGACCAGATCCTGAAGAGGAAACTTAAATACTTTGGCCACCAAATGAGAAGGAAGGACTCACTGGAGAAGAGCCTAATGCTGGGAACGATTGAGGGCAATAGAAGAACGGGATGACAGAGAACGAGGGGGTTGGATGGAGTCACTGAAGCAGCTGGCTTAAATGGACTCAGGGGGATGGTAGACGACAGGAAGGCCTGGAGGAACATTGTCCATAGGGTCACAACGGGTCAGATACGACTTCGCAAATAACAACAACAACAATGGAGTCATAATTTTTTTTAGAAACAGTCTGCTCCCTATTGTGTTTTACTTTGGTGTAGTCTTCTTGTTTAGGTTGGGATTTCTCATTTTGCTCATTGACTTTCAGAGTGCTAGAGTTGCCTCTCTAAACACTTTACTTTTTCTTCTAGTAATTCAAGTAGTTTACATTTAATACCTACATAGTTTGGATCCTCTGTGGGCATAAGATGAAACATGTGGCACACTTTGCAAGAACTCTAGTGTCAGTCTTCATCTCCATGACATTTTTCTTTGTTTGCTTGAAAATTAGAATTAAAAATTTCTAAAAATGTAAATATTTTCCATGTTGCAAAGTGCCAGTTAGTTTACAAGCATTTTGATCCTTTCTTTTGTCTTGAAAATTCTTCACTCTTCCCTGTTTCAAGTGTCTGTCTCTTTTTCTGTGGTTTATTTTTTTCCTATTAGATCATTAAGAATTTAAACATTTCTAAAGAATTAAAGTAAATAAACTATTTTTTAAAAAATGTGTAGTTGAAAAAAGAAATTGAAAAATTGAAAAAAGAATTTTATTTTAAAAAATTGAAAAAAGGATTTAAAAATTGAAAAAAGAAATTTAAATTAAAATGATACTTAATAGTTAAAGAAATTGGAACAAGGTATTGAAAAATTGGAAAAAAAATTGAAAAGGAATTTTTCTTAAGGAATATTGGAATATTCCTTAAAGAATATTGAATTCCAGTATGATGTGGTCACTCTCGCCAAAGGTTCTGGCAACTTCAACTCCCTCTATCACTTCTCTATTAGTAAGAATTAGGTCCAGTATAGTTTTTCCTCTAGTTCCCTCTTCTACCTTTTGGATGACAAAGTTGTCCGCTAAGTTGGTTAGGAATCTGTTCGATCTCCTACTTCCTGCAGAGTCTGTCTCCCAGTTGATATCAGGGTAGTTCAAGTCTCCCGTTACATCTTCATGTTGCCCTCTTGATATAGTTTGTAATCCACGCATGTATTGAAAATGACAGGTGGATACAATTTACAAGTTTTTTTACTTCCATGTCTTGCCAATAAGTATGGCATTTTCTATCTCATCCATGTATTAACCAGGTTCGATTGTGCTTAATCCAGCACTTTCTAAAAAATAGCTATTGAGGACCTTTAGGCACTGTTAGTTGCACAGGTAGTCCTCACTTACCACTTCTTCCCTAAGCCTTCAAAGTTACTATGGCCCAGTAGAAGCAGATGTGCACCTGATCCACAAAATTTGTGGTAATCCTAACAGTTGTTCAGTGACCACACATCAGCAGTGACTGTGATTTTGAAAGTGCAGGAAAAGAAATTGCACCAATTTGGGTTCTACCAATAGTTGCATATTTATGATGGCCGGAGCATCCCACACCGATGATCCCCATTTGTGACCTTCCCAGCTAGTTCTCACAAGCAAAATCATTGGGTATACCTGGCAGGAAATTGCAAGTCACAGTCATATGGAATTGCCTTTAACAACCTACAGTGATTTGCTTAACAACTACAGAGGAACAGATGCAAGTTGGCACTGTCATGTGACATCATGCTTAACGATTGAGCTGCTTAATAATGCAGATATCAGTTCCAATTTTGGTAGATTAAGTGAGGACAACTTGAATGGGGATGTCACCAGAGGGGTTATAGACAGTATTTTCTGCTCTTATTTGCAGTTGCCGATTTCCATGAGCAAAAGTGATGCTTCAAATCTTGCAGAAGCTTTCAGCATCACTTCATCAGTTAAAGCCCCCAAATCTCTAAATTTAGCTCAGAAGATTTGAGCGTAAGCATTCTGGAACATTTTGTCAGGTTTGAAAGACATAGATTTTCTCCATGAATACATGTGTAGGTAGGGAATATCTGTATTTCTCTCTGTAGGGATAAGCCTGCAATTATATAATTTATCCCCAGCACTACAAGTTATAATTGATGATAGTCCTTTGTGTTGCTAAGAATTTGTGATTAACCCAATTAAACAACAGAATTTGATTGAATGCATATTTGAACATGGATCTTAGTAGTCTTCCATGGATCGAATGATAAATAATATAAGTGAGAGATTCTTCTTACTTACTAAATTATTCTAGTATTGGGGCATGTTTGCTTTTTCATTTAATATTATATTTTTTAATATATTATGTAATATAATTTTTATTTTTTCACATCATCTCTAACCATTTTATGAACAAAGTTCCACTTTTCTTTGAATCTTACAGACAAAGAAGGGGGCAATAAGAGCACCTGGGACAGCGGTAAATAACAAACAACATTGAAAAGGGAAGAAAATCAAGCCAGAAAATCAAAATATTTTCCATTTTCTTCAGAAAACCAAACAAGTCTGCTCCTTCTCCAGCAACTGTTAGACAAAAGAGAGAAAAATCAAGAAAGATTTCAAGCCGGAATAAGCAGATTATTCAGAACTGAAGGATATATTACATGAAAAGTCAAGGGAGATTATTTTTCATTCAGTATATCTGGAAGTCATTTGGAGGAAAAGGTGAATAGTAAAGCCATGTGGAACAGACCGTAATATAGGCCTCTCCCTATGAGGAAGAAAATGGCTTGAATGAAAACACCACTAAACAAGGCATTATCACAATTCCAGTCTGGTGATACATCAGTGGATTGACTCCAGGGAGAAACTGTATGAGTGTCTAGATAGTGGGAAAAGCTTCATTAGAAATTCTCACCTCTTGAGACACAAGAGCACACACGCAGAAGAGAAACCCTTTGAATGTCCTATCTATGCGGAAAGTTTCAGTCAGAATTCCAACATCATGATACGCCAGAGGCCTCACACAGGAGAGAAACTCTTTGAATGTCCTGACTGTGGCAAAAGTTTTAGATATAATTCCCACTTGGTGATACACCGGAGGACTCATACAGGAGAGAAACCCTTTGAATGTCCTATTTGTGGGAAAAGTTTTAGTTGCAAATCTACGCTGGTGCTACACCAGAGAACTCATACAGGAGAGAAACCCTTTGAATGTTCTATCTGTGGGAAAAGTTTTAGTGATAATTCCAGCCTGGTGAAACACCAGAGGTCTCACACAGGAGAGAGACCTTTTGAATGTCCTATTTGTGGGAAAAGTTTTAGTTGCAAATCAACGCTGGTGCTACACCAGAGGACTCACACAGGAGAAAAACCCTTGGAATGTCCTCTTTGTGGGAAAAGTTTCACACAGAATTCTGATCTGGTAAGGCACCAGAGGATTCACACAAGAGAGAAATCCTTCGAATGTCCTATTTGTGGGGAAAATTTTAGTCGCAGTTTCCAGCTAGTAATACATCAGAGGACTCACACAGGAGAGAAACCCTTTGAATGTCCTATCTGTGG